TATTTGAGTATCTGGTTGTGTATGAGGCTGAGAAGTACCGGATCCATCAGCATGCGAAGTGCCGACTCCATCGTCATCGTCACGTGGCCTACGTCGTCGCGTTTACATTTGCCCAAAAGATTGAGACATGTCCTCACGGCCTGCAAACTTGTCGACGTGAGTCTTATGAAACACCTGTGCTATTATCTGCTTGATCCTATTGAAGACCCCTAACGTCACCGAATCTTGAATCTCATGCATGTGCTCATCAATCTCAGCTTCAATATCATCAATATATACACAATTTAGCAAATAACATCTTAATAAAAAAATTACTATTTTAATTTAGCTTAGAAACTTACATAATCTCTCTCGATCATCCCACTATGGATGTAACTATCTGTCGGTGGGTGTGACAGGTGTCCAGGTGATGGTTGTGGGTCACACATGATCCATCTACGTGTGACATCCCAATACTAACGTATATATGTGGTATAGTCAACAGTTATGTCTCTCGTATCCTATATAAAATCCCACCCGTGAATCCACCTGTCTATGTAGGCTGCACGGAGTACGACCCAGTCCGTATGATGCGATATAGGTCGTCGCCTACGATCGATATGCTCGATGGGATCCGGCACATGCTGAGAGAGCAGAAATTATCGTAGCACATGGTTGGGGACATGCATCTCCACAATCTTCCAACAGATCAATGGAACTCTGACTCTCCATAAGTCGGGACCATCTCGACAGATAGGTGTAAGAGTATGCATATCGAGCTCCAACGGTGAATATGGTCTCCACTTGAACTAAAATAAGATAAAATATTTATCAGTATCAATAACAAAACTATAATATTCATAATGACTTGAAATTTACATTTACCTGTTTGTGTTGGAGGCCATCAAGCTCATTTTGGTAAAACTCATGATGTCGCATCGCTGATTTGTACTTAGCGTACCGCACGTTATACATATTTGGTATAAAGAATATATGACTACAAATTCAATATGAATAAAATTGTGTGGACAATTATACCTGTATGCCAAAGGAAACTGGCCGAGTAGGTCACGGTGCACAAGCAAAATAGGTCATCCAATATGAATGCACTCCCATGATCAAATCTGTATCAATGTAAAACATCCATTGAATTTTTTGTTCTGCATCAATGATTCTCTACCCAATTCTCTATATAAGTATGCTAACACCGTACTGCCCTATAATAGTGCGCCGCATACACCAAAATCCTCTAGCAGTGATAGTCATCGTGCATGTACAAGAGTCTTGCTCGCATCAGGAAATAACATGCACCCTATTATGTGCAATATATATGCACGTGCATGATACTGAAGCGTCTCATTGGGAGCATCAGCTGATATATCTCCCTGAAATGTCGTACGAAGCCACGATAGCTTCATCGCACCACTCCTCAAGTCGGGAACCTGATCAAGAAGCTTAGCACATACTTCAACCCAATTATGGTCATCGGTGCCGATAACGGCCGGGCCATCGATGCGGAGCCCAAGTATGACGGCTACGTCCTATA